TATACACATATGTATATATATGTGTGTATATGTATATGTATATATATATATATATATATATATATACATACATACATGCATGTGTTTGTTTTTGAATGCCTCTGAAAAAGTTCCAACTTTCTTTCAGCTGCTTTTTGGTTATAAAATAATTTATTTCTTTTGTTTTGTTTACAGAGAAAGAGTCGGAAGCAACGCCTGGAACGGATGGACAAAGCGCGCAAGGTCCGACCAGAAAGCTGAAAATATGCCGTACATTCCGAGATGAGGACGGCACAGAAACGGTAAGATTTGATGTAGTAAGTTTGAGCTAGTATGTTAGGGTATTGTTGCTTTTTTGGGTAGTGAACTCTTTCAACTGTTCTCATTTTTATCTTTAATCAGTTTTCATGCTCGCAAAGAAATAAGGCATAACTTGGGTGGCCTTTGAAGAGAAAATGAACACCAAATATGTGGTAGAGGTGCAACGCTACCACATATTTGGTGTTCATTTTGTGGGCTGCGCCCGTATGAAAAAGCATTCCAGTAGCATGCTGTCCTTACCTCGGTTGTCCCAGCAATCGTGGTCTTATTGTTTGTTCTTGGTGTTTTTGCCATTCCTGCTTTTTGTCACATTTCTGAAAACTGTCTCCGTTTTTCACCTAAATTTTCTGTCTTTTAGACTCGGGTTGAAGTGATCACTCGACAGCAACTTATCGATGCATACGTACGCATTCGTACACGATGTGACGAAACATTTATTCGAGTTTATGCACAAATGGATGAGCAATTTAGGGAGGTAAGACATGTGCGCTCTTTGGCGCTTAATCTGCATTTTGATACCAGTACTGATAAAGCATGGTAACGTTATCGAGTATGTTGCAATGGCAAATAGTGCTGCTACCGTGCTGAAAATCGAGAATGCGACTTAACTATCGCTCGGACTACTTCTCCGAATATTTAATTTCTCCTTCTTGTAGAGAGTGAGCATGAAGTAGGCGGAGTCGTGTTGTTTGTCGTCAACAGGCAGTTGTCTCCAAAAATCATTTCTTGTCACGAATTGGAGTGGTCCTCTTCAGACCAGTTTCCTGTAGTGGCCTCAAAAACTTCTACCATGGCCAACAGTGATGATGAGATGGAACAGTTCTGCGGTGAGCCTGAATTCAGATTAACCATTAAATCCACATACACGGTTGTTATGTGGGATTTCAATGCAAAACTTGGACGAAGAGGAAAGAATGAAGAGAAGTACGGTATGACAAGAGGAAAGATGGAGGTAAAAGGCTAGATATAATGGCAGAAACGAACAAATTGTTTGTTAGCTATACCTAGTTCCGAAAAGAATCAAGACGGGGATGGACTCGGATTGCGCCAAACGTAAAAAAAGGATTGAAATCGACTACATTTTTGTTGATGCTTAGCACATCCTCAAAAACTTTTTCGTAGAACCCTCCTTCAGTGCGGGGAGCGACCACCGCATGTTTCAGGCCAGAATGCGCATCATGTCGGCTCATGAAAGGATGGCACTGCATGTAGTAGGTTAACGTAATAGTCTCCGAAAAATCGATGATGAAGAGATGAAACAAGTCAAAAATAACAGCTGACGAATATTGAACAACACTACAAATGCCTTGTTGATATGCTTCTTCAGTGCGCGAAACAAGCCGAAAGTGTTTGATCTGAACGGCCAAACTCGAGGATCTCCACAGCTACAAAAATACTGTTAAAAAAGAGACATGAAAGGGGATAAAATTCAAAACGTGGAATATCTTCTATGCATGTTAAACACAGATTGGAGGAAGATCTCAGAAACTACAATCGTCGGCGGAAGGCAGAGATGGTTCAAAAAAAGCAAAGGCTGAAGAAATGTCGGAAAGAACTGCTGCTGTACCATCTCTTAATGGCAGCTCTGAATGACGGAAATGGATACCGGATAACAAATCGAGCAGATCTGGATTCTATAACTGTTTGCCTCAACTGCCGACATTCCAGCACCTATAATCCTCGCCACCAAGTAGCGAATCACTCCAGTGCATCCAACAGCGTAGAAATGAACGCTGTGCTGCGAGCTCTTGTAAATGAAAGGGTTGGTGGAAATTATGTGGGAACCGTTCAGGAAACACACAGAGTTTGTGCAACAGACATAACACTTTATTTCTGTCCAGTCCACATATTGATCAAGAGGGGGAGTAAGAGTGGGTGATTCCTTACTGCCCAACCTTTTTGCGGCTTGCCTCGAAATGATTTTTCGGAAATTAGGTTGGAAGGATGGTCTGAAGAAATGTGAGCAGCTAAGTTTGCGCTTCGCGGATGACATAATTCTTATTGCGAAATAAGCAAGATGAGTAAGATACTGCATGAACTCAACACACGAAGTAAGGATATGCTCGCAACAAGATTATAAAGAAATATTATCTACTTGGAAAAAGTTGGCAGTTACGTCTCTTCCTGATAAGAAGCAAACGTGTGCCAAAATCTTGCGTTTCGAAGCATTGTCATTTGACGCAAATTCAATTGCATCGTCGATGTACCTAAAGTATCGAACCGAAAAGACCATATTTAGCTCGTCAACACTTGAAGGGAATGACATACGAATGCGAAACATGATCAGTGACGAAAGCCGATGAGCGAGCGGTGGCTGGACGGAGAGAGCAACGGTTCGCAGGAAACATAATCCAAGTTTCCACATCCGAATAAACACTCATTCTCTCCGTCAGATGAGCGATATGAACGATATCGTTGCGACCGTGCAAGAAATTAAAATTTGATGGCCAAGCTGTGTTATCCGTCTTGCCGACAGTCTGTAGACGATGCACATTAGTGAATGGGTATTCCCAGAAAGTAAGCGACTACTCCAGCGGCCTCGGAGAGATGGCGCAAGTAAATATAACAGGCGGTAGATTTTAGCTGAAGGTGTGCAGCTCGGGATTGAAGGGCATAGCTATGCTGGACGCATTGAAAAATCTTAATTACACCACTCATAGCTGAATCCTATACTGATAGTACACTGATAATCCTACACTGTTAGTCCAGGACTGTTGGTATTTCAGTTTCGAAACTGTTAATAAGAATTGCGCAAGTCCCACTTCATTTCAGCTATTTTTTCTGTTTTCGTTAGATGTCAGAAGCTGTCGCAATTCAGTCGACGCTGAGATTCGAGGAAAAGGAGAACGGAGGTAGATGAGGGAGGAGGAGGGGGAGAAAGAAAAAGAGACAAGAAAAGTAATCCGTTTTGTTTTATTCAATGAAATTGACGATGAGCCTTAACAGTCGTTGCAGGAAAGAAGGAAGGAAAAGAGGCGATTACAGGACCAGTTGCGGAGGATTAGACGTAACGAGCTGAGGGCTCAACTTTTCGGGGTACCCATTGGGCAGTCCGGCAGCAAGGTTAGCATTTTTTTCCACTGTGATGAGCATTGTGAAGCTCTGCAATAAGCTGGAGGGATTTTAGGGATTTCGTCAAGTTATCCATTTTTATGTTTTTTGTTCTATGACAGTTGCAAAAAATAGGTTATCACGACCCCGTATTTCTCTGTGTGTTCCGAGTGCGTTTTGTCTTGAGTTTTCAACTCCAGACCAGAAAGGCTTGAAAGCTGAAACTTTGGGTGATTCTTTGTAACTCCGCAAACTTAAATCCAGTTTCCACGCACGCCTGAACCTCACTTATAGACACATGAAAGTTGTTGTTCTAGAATCACCAACTCGGGAATGAGGAAAGCTAGAAATTTTACGTGGATTTTCTCCTCCCCTTTGTGACTCCATAGACTCAAATTTGGCTCCCAAGAACGCCCGGGACGCGCGAGAGATTTCTTACCTCAGGTGACAGAAAGCTGCACGTTTAGCATGATGCTTCCTCTCACCGTACAACTCTAGAATTTTAAATTCAGTTTTTGTGTTTGGTTATTTCACCTGTACGGATACGTGAAATTTTATGTGGGAAATTTTTACTTCGAAAACTGGACAAAGCAGAAAGCTAAAAATACTGAAGGATTTTTTCTTTACAATCCAACGAATTCAAATCCAGCTCTCACGAACGCCTATGTTACATTTAAAGGCACGTGAAATTTTCGATGAGAAATTTTGTAGCGTGATATTTTCGCAGAAGCTTTAAAGCTGTGAACATTCCTAACAGCAATTCCTGATGGGCAGAACTGCGCAAAACACATGATCGCACCGACTACTCAGGTGGCCACCGTGATTTGTTCATCCTCTTTGGATAGACATTCCAGGCGAAAACAGTGGAGAAGAAGCCTCCAGTTATCAAGCCAAATTTGCTGAAAATGCGCTGCAGCGCATGCCACGAAACAGGTCATATGAAAACCAACAAGAATTGTCCGTTGTACGGTAAAGATTCAACAAAAGGAGCAGTCAAAACGATTGGCGACATACATCCGGTGCCGTTTTGGATTTCTGGCTTGTCATTCGCAAAAATTTTATCTGATAGTTTAGTAGTTTCAGACGTATTGCTTACAATATTTCTAGCCTTGGCAAATGATTAATTAATCGTCCATCAAAACTAGATTATCCGTAGCCGGTGGCTGGAATAAGTGCTTTTTTTAAGGGTTTCTCCCGTTGGATCTTTTCTCTTGCATAAAGTTTCTTTGTAAAAAAATCCTTTGTTCAGTCAGCATGCGGCACCTTACCGCCTTTCCTTTTTGTTCAGTAAGTCGATTTGACAGGGCCGTTAATTCCGGTGTTACTGAAAGTGAAAAATTCATTGAAATATAGGGAGATTCGGAAAAATTATGTATTGAAAAAGAGGAAAAGGTGGAGCAAATGAGGAACAGAGGGAGTGATAAAACGGAAGGACTGGAATATGAAGGGCACAGTTTTGAGTACATTGGTGTGCGCTTTTTATCAGAAGCTGTATGCGGTACTGGTACTCCTTTGTTCAACGTATATCAAGATAAAATCCAACGCATTATTTGAGATGTGAAGGCAGTCGAAAGTAGCTCTGGTGTTCTCAAGTAGCAACAGCACCCATCTTTGGCACGGCTACCAGTGGCTCCATCTTTCGAGAGTTTCTGAGACGTAAGCTGTAATAGTTTCCACTCCCTGACGTGCGCCAGTGCTGGATTATTTTTGATATATTGAATTGTGCAGGGAGTAGCTTTTTTCCTGCTCCAGAGGTGAACTGCTAAACTTCAGCATGAGGAAATCGCTACCTTCGATTGCATAAAGTTCAGCAGTTGTCCAATAGTAATCGAATTGTGCGTATCAGTCGGATAGAATAATGTGAGTTTTGTTGATTATTACGGATTTAGGTAGCATTAACGGATGAGCAGCTTGAAAAGATGGCCATTCCATCTGGCGAATTGATTGCTGTGGAAGGCACAAAACTGAAAATTTCAAGGAAATTGTACAGTCATGCAGAAATGATCAAAAAGAATGCGTTGAGGTAAGCAGTGGGTGGGTGAATACTTGAATCAGTTGTTCGCTTATGCCTTGGTCCTCTAACAACTCAGCTCGTAACTTTTCTAGTAGCTTCTTACGACGATGTGTCGTAGGACATTCGTTCCTGAAGGGATTACCAGATCTACACATTTCTCGATGAAACCACTCGATAACGGTTTTAGTCGACAGGCTGTTATTTGAAATTTGACGCGCCACATCTGGAAATGGGAGAGGGGTTAGTAAACAAATCATCATTCCCTTAAAATGCAAATTTCTTTCTTTTTTCTCAGTGTAAAGAAATATAATGCAGTTGAGAAATAAGCATCTGGAAAAATTGCGAGCTGCGTAGCTTTCCCGGCTTTTGGTTTTGAGAAGGACAATATTAAATTGAATCAAAAATAAGTGAAAAGTATTGATGCTAGTTGTTAATGACTTACGTATTAACTTATCGAGTAAACCCATAGAGAATGATTGACTGTTCCAGATAAGCACGACTTTCTGCAGTTAAAAATAAGTTTTTAGGCTTCATATACCACGTGGGCTATTGGAAGGTGATGGAAAATTGGGGGGTACGACTGGTAAGCCATCGCCATCAACACCTGCTGATGGGGAAGAGAAGATAAGTATGGTGCATGGTATTGATAATAATGATGATGTTGATCCGGATGATGACGTCGAGATTCCAGAAATGCCTGAACGGCCAAAAACCGGTAATCTATTTATTCTTGTGGCATGCTTCAAAAGCCACAGTCGAAATCTGCATAACTTGCAGGTAGTGATCTGTATTTAGCTGCTGTTGTTAGCTGTCTGCTGTCCTCAGAGTGCTGGATAGAAGGACTGCTCTCATGTCTTCATTCCCAGTGTGTTACCCAATCGGTAACGAAAGCAGAAGAGCGAACGCTGCTTGTGGTGGAGAATGCATTAGAGCGACGGATGCTTGAAGTGTCATCTCGGCAGTCAGCCTCTTTGTTGAATGAGCACCATGCAAAGATTGGCAGTGGCCGCGCAAAAAAGTAGAATTCACTTAGCATGTTCCTTCATCACTTTGCTGACAGTCGGCAGATTTCACCTGTTACTGCGTGTCAAACGAAGTAAGCAACTACTCAGGCTACTTACGAAGAGGTGGCGCACATAGGCCGAAGAAACGATAGGTGCTGAATGGAGAAATGCGGTCCAGGATCGAAAGACTGGCATGGCTGCAACCGCCTTTTAGAAGCATCTCGCTAACATGAAAATTCAGAGGATGAACTCCTGATCACATAGCTATTTTTAGGAATTCAGCCAATTGTTACAGCATTTTGTGATCACTCAGCTGTTCTCATTTATAAAAATTCATTTGCTTAATCAGGAAATAAAGAAACGTGGATCCTACTGGTGTCTTGGTTTCAGGCAGAAGTCGGAGTGTTGCGAGCAGTTCCGCTAAACGACGCTATGCAACTGATATGGACGACTATCTGTTTGGTCCTCAGAAAACTGTCAAAAGAATAAGAGCCGATCCAAAAGTGAGTTCATTTGGTGGAGGAATGCCCTGGACGGTATATACGCGTGCCTAATGTTCACATGTTCGAGCATCGCTGTATTTAGGAATTGATCCATATTATTACCGGCCGTTTGTGAAGGCGGTCTCTGTGAGAGCGTAAACACTCAGAAACAGCTCGAACCAAAAGCAGCCACCATTCTCCTTCTCGATGGCTCCCTTTTCTAGCGGATTGCTCAGAAACAAGCTGGTGGCGGTTTTGACTTCCTGACGTATTCTAGCACTAGTTCACTATCAGATCGAATAAACGAATTATAGAGATTACTTGTCGTAGTGGCAGAGACAAACCCATGACCTTCAGCACGTGGAAAACGTTTTTGCCATTTTTCTTTGAATGTTGTTTTCACTGCTGGGTTTTAGTGCTAAATTATGGTGCTGTAACGGATTTTTTAACAGACATGATTTTGCAGGTGTCGATGTCTATTGTGCTGAATGAAATATTTTATGATTTGCGTAGTGTGCCCGGCTGCGAAGAAATCATGTTTCCTGTTAATCCTAAGAAGGCAGCTTTTTTTTTCATTTATACTTATTTGAGAATTGTAGCCGTATTAGTATTCCTAATAATATTAGAACCTTCTTTTCTTTCTTTTTCCTCGTTCTTGATCGTTAGTGCAGCAAAAAGACCATCTCAGTCAGCGTACGGACTGAAGTTAAAAGAAGTGTTGAGTCTGCGGAATAGCTTATATTCGTTTTCCTAACGCAAATTTTCAGCAAATTTTCTATTTGTGCGAGCTCCTAGAGTAGCACTCAACCTGGCGCCGTCAAAAAAAGTTTTTTTTTACTCGCCAACTGCGCTGTATGCACTGGTATTTGATAATTGAAATCTATTTTGTCAGGTACCTGATTACTATAGCATCATCAAAGAACCAATGGATTTGCAAACAATCAAGAGAAAAATTTCGGAAAACAAGTATGAGTTAAGACGGCAATTCCTCTATGATGTCAAGCTAATTATGGACAATTCCATACTTTACAATGGTGTTAATCATCCAATTACAACTACGGCAAAAAATGTTAGTTTTTGAAAAGACCCATTTGAAATATTTTTGGTTTGGCAGGCTGACCTTGGACGATATATTGCAGGTAATTAATAGATTTGGCAGATATGGGAATCGCTTCGTAGTGCTTAGGGATCATTTCTACTGGACGTGCTTCCACACGCTGGGCGGAATATAGAATGAAGCATATATGTATATATATACATATATACGTATATATGTATATATATATGTATATATATGTCTATATGTGTATATATATGTATATGCATATGCATATATATACACGCATATGTATATATGTATACATATATATACGTATATGTATATGCGTGTATATACATATATATATTTATATATGTATACATGTATATATATATGTGTATATATACACATATATATATGTATGTATGTATATGTATATATATATATATATATATATATGTATGTATATAGAATACCAAGACTGCTCGGTCTATCCGTATAGGATTCCCTTACTAGTGTTGTTACTGGGATGCATCCACACACACCTAGCGCAGCTGTGCCAGGCCTTTCGGCCCCAGACTGCATACCTTTAGTAGTACCCACCGCCTGTTGTATGTATGCGCACCACGTCTTCAGAGGTCGTTTGAGCGGTCATTTACTTTCTTGGGAATGTCGACTGGACCGTGATGACGAATATCGTCTCCACCGTTATAGCATCCTATCACTTCTGTCATTCCTCTTGTCAACTCCACATTTGCCTGCGTACTTTTTTCCATCCCTCCTGGTCAACAATTTGCATTGAAATCCCATATAAGAAACCATTATGTGGATTTAACGACTAATGTGGATTCAGATTCATCATAGAACTTCCACCACATCACCATCACTGACCGTGGCGGGAACACAGACTTGGCAGTTCTGAAGGTTTTATTGGGAACTAGCTTGAGGAAGAGCAGTCCGATTCGTGACGAGTGGAATTGACAGGATACGATTTTTGGAGATCACTGCTTGTTGATGATAAACCCGACTTCACCAACATCCCTCTGTATCTCTTCAGTGCCGAGAGAAATCGTTTTTCCGTCCGTCGAGGTTACAGTATGTCCGGTCCTTCGTCATGTTTCACACAAACTGAGGCTTTACTATGGCAGAACCCGAACAAAATCCGAGATTCCTAGCAGTCGTCGCGTTCCGGTTGCCGGCCCGCCACTGTAGATAGTGCCGAATAGAGCACAAGGTGCTCTAGGCCCCATTTTTATGCATTTTATGTTTCAGCAGTTGCACAAAACGCACGTTGTCGAGACACTGTCTGTATGTATGTATGCATGTATCTCTTCAGAGTGCTTTTTGTCCGATTTTTCAGTTTGGGAACTAAAGAAGCTAAGAAGCCCAAATTTTAAGGGGAATCCTTTACCGACGTATGATCTCGCGAGCCCAAATTCAACATGTGTTTCACAAAACTCACTGACTCAGGAGCCAGCAAAGTTAGGAAACTGGAGTTTTAGGAGAATGTCCCCTTCCTGTGTATGACCCTGCACTCAGATCCACTTCTCGTGCCTGCTTAGTTCTTGCGTGGCGACACGTGAAAGTTCTGGCGCTGAAATTGACAACTTGGAAACCAGAAAAGCTGGGACGCTTTTAAGGGAATATTTCTTGCTCGCATA